GCCCCCCACGTTGGTCACAAAAGTCCACTGCGCGTCCTCCTCGACCTCACGCTGTTTCAAAGAATTTGAGATCACCGGAAGGGCCCTAAAAGAACTTCACAAACTCAAAAGTGAAGCGTCGTTCCCTACTCACAGCGATAGGTGGCACAGCCGGGGAAGCGCGGCTGATCGCGGGATGCGGAAGACACTTCTGTTGGTTCGGTTCGACGGAGGCGGGAGAGCAGGATGGCTCACTTTTCAACATCCCTGCACTGGCGCGGATCTCACGGGAACTATTCAGCCTTTGGAAAGTGCGTTTTTAATGCGAAAGCATTAACTGTCGCATGGAGCGAGCCGACGTCAACATCTGAAGCGCGCCGAATGGCACTTCAAATCCTTTCACGTGAAGCCAGCTCCCAGCTATGAAACCACGCGAAAGGTTTAGACAACGGCACCTAGTTTCCCCGATCCCAAAGGAGCGGAGTACAGCTGATAGATTTCGCCTTCGGTACCATTGGCTGGCGCGCGTCGACGAGGCTCCCATCGGCCGCTGCGCCGTCAGTTTCAACGACCACCGCCCCATGGCCCTGCGTGCCCGTGCCGCGAGCGCGCAAGTAACATGAAGCGTCCAAGGTCAGAGCTGCGAGGAGAGCTGGGAGAGCGCTCGCGCGGCCGACGCAAATACGCCGCAAACGAAACACGAGATCGGAAGAAGGGCACGCATGCTTTCGCATTCACAACTTATAAGTGCCCGAAATTACCTCAAACCTTTTTTTTTTTTTTTTTTTTTTTTTTTTTTTTTACGAGTTTTGAGTTTCTAAGCTTCGAATTGTGAGGGTAATGTCCAGGCATCAATTTCGGTCGTTTCGGATAATAATAAAAAGAAGTATGATTTTGACCTTTCAGTGCCCTCTGAAGCGGGAGAATCAATCAGAGGAAACAGTCCGGTCGTTCTATGGTATTCAAGTTGAAAAAGTTAAGTTCCTGGACTTACCACCGAGGCAAAACATTATTATGGAGATGACAAAGAGGATACGCATCTCCATGTTTCAGACGTCGTGAGGAAACACTTCAGACTGAAAACTTGGCTCTTAAACATTTTGTGAGTTGCCTCTTTTTTTCGCTTATTTGCTATTGTTTGTGCGTCTCACAAACAAAACACATTGTCTCAATCAAAACTACGAGGTTCTTCATTTGTCTGAAGACAGAGGCTTCAGGATAAGTGATAAATGGCTTCTCCCTGCTCCATTTTGAGTATGAATAGGGGAGAAAGTCGTTTGAACGCGTTTCTTTCCCACAACAATGGCTCTGGGGTTCCGGACTCTAGAAGCGATATGAAATTATGCTAATTCCTTACTAATTCGTGACAACCGGCGGTTGAAAGAATTGTTGGAGGGACTGCGCTATTCGCAAGCTCGAGAGCTCAAATTCGCTCCCTAGAAGTTTGTGATGCTGACAGCTGCTAAACATTGGATGCATTGGGACTCTAGAAGATCCCGCTTGCTCCGAAGTTATTGTGTTTAGGACGTGGAAGACCCCAAACGTTTCAAAGACGGAAGACGTTCTTCTTTTTATATTTAGCTTTAATATCGATCTAGCCGCAAGGAACAAGTTGCGCTAAGGCTATTCGCGGTGAAATTAAACCTTAAATAATGTGAATTTATGTTTAACGTTTCTTTTATATTTTGTTTTATTGTGATTCACAGTTTGCTTATCCCATGCCTATTCACGTTTTCGTACTCAATCGTTTTTAACGCTTATGCTTATAAATTCAGAGACAAGGGATCAAACGAAGTGAAAGAGAAAACTGGACAACACAACGACGTCTCAAAACTCAGCAGTCACGTGACATATACTGCGTTAAAGAACAACTCCGGTCGAAAGTATAATATTAAATTACAGGTATTGATTCACAGAGACTAAATACGGGCGCAGCAAAATATTCTACCAATAAGATGCCGCGATACACTCTAAAGCCGATTCTAAAAATGCTACAACCAGCTTATCAGCGGTCACTTAGCGGGTTGGCTGTTTGTCAGGCAACCTTGTGCCCTGACGCCATGATCGTACTTCAGAAGGTTATTGGTTCGTACTGCCATTTCTTTCGCCGCGCTTTTCTGTTACGTTTTCAGTCGTCCCAGCGGATGATTTGAGCTTGTTATGTTATACTTTAGCGGCCGCCGTTTGTAAGTGCTCCTCAGCTGTTGCGCACGCCGCACGAAGATTTTTAAGTCACTGCTCGCTCAAGCGCGTCGTGGTCCCAAAGTGCAAGAGACTCGCATCTTTCTGCCATTCCCAGCTTTCATGGCAAAGAGGGGGCGCGCTAGTTCCTATTAAAATGGCTGACATCTGGATGATCACCGTAGAGCGGCAGTGCGAACTTGGGTCTCCTACGTGTAAGAAATTCTAATTTACTAACATACGAGTGATTTAGGAGCCGTACTTGATTCTTCTGCGACAGGAGGAGGTAGGCAAGCGCCTTCGTTTAGAATCCGATCATCTATGGGTTAGGGAGCGCGATTCTCACACCATGGTACCACCAATGCTAAAAGTTGGGAATGTGCTGTGGGATTCCCGGGAACGCGACAGAACAGCACACGACAAAACAGCACCCGACAAAACAGTACGGTCAAAACAGCACACGTCAAAACAGCACAGCGTCAAAATAGCACGCGACAAAACAGCACGGCGTCAAAACGGCACAGCGACAGAAGAGCACGTGCCAAAACAGCACGTAGTCAAAACAGCACAGCGACAAAAGAGCACGCATGTAAAAAGGCTGTAATAGGTAGCGTTTTATGAAAACAAAGCAGAACATAAAGAAAAAGGGTTGGAAATTGCATGGCTTTATTTAACAGCTAGTGGAGAACCAATAAAAAAAATATACGCTGGTGGCGACGGGACTGCACTGAAGTAAGTGTCCCAAGTGCTGCTGCTGTTGTGTGATTTCTAAAAACAAATAAAGTTAGCAGTAGTTACTACTACTTAACTACGCTAATCTCTGAAGAGGTTGGGTAGTTAGAGGGGATAACTTCGCGTAGATGTTGGCTGCGTTGTCTGGTCTTTTTGAAGTATCAGGGAAAGAGGAAACGTTATTGGGAAAAAGATATCCATAGATTAAAGTTATGAACTGCCTGGTCTGTGGCGGTCCGGTGAGGTTCCGTAGTACTCGCCGGTTTGTAATTACCACCTAGCGTAAAACGTAACCCCCCCCCCCCCCCAAAAAAAAAAAAAACGATGCGGAAGATGCGCCGATTACAGGTGCATGGATGAAACCGGTAAGATAAGGTGACTTTAATGTAGAGCGTATTCAAGGTGTACCATGGGCACCAATTCTGCGGGGTTCATTCGCCGTGAATAAAATCTCATGGAAACACGCGGCTGGATCTTGCACGTGAGAAGTAGTACGTTTTGAGTTGAATTCACAGATTATTGCCGACGAAGGCCTTGATCGAGTGGAAACCGGTGAAGCAGTAACATGCCGCAGCCTCAATGCTGTGCCCTTAAGCGTGTTCCACATGCAGCGGTTTTGGCCCTAGAGCGGCGCAATTTCTTCCGTCGCGGCGCTCTGGCCAGCACAAGAGGTTGAGCGGCACGAGCGCCGCGACGACAGAAATCGCGCCGCTTTATGGCCAAAATCGCTGCATGTGAAACACGCTTTACACTTCAGCATGGGTTGGACACACCATTGCCGCACACACTTTATTTATTTTTTTATTTTCACAACTAACGACAGTACATTGCCGTGCGATTGAATCATTTATTGTCAACGATATCACCCGCAAACTTGCGCGTCAAAATGAGCAAAACTGTTCGAAAAATTGCGGTGGCTTAGCTCGGCTCTCCCAGGATATACGCAGCGTGAACGTATGCTCACAAAATGAGAGGCGCTACCAAGCGGCTCCGGTGCAGCGTCAGACTTGCCTACTGCGCAACGAAGGCGCACAGCTGGGCACGCGGTGACGCCAGTGCGTCTGCCGCGGCTGTGACGTCACTCCTCTGGAATGCACAGACCGGCGAGGCGGGCGCGGCGGCGGCGGAGCGCGCGGCGGCGTCGGCTCCGGCCAGCGTTATTAGATTAGCTCAGTTACGGAACTGCTCATAGACGCTGCATGCACGAACAGTACCCCCCCCTCAATCACCACGACTCGCCAAGCGTCGCTCGACGCGCCGCCGGACGGCTGCTTTGGTAACTGCAGCGTATTCTGTGGGAATCGGGCACGGTGAAATCGGGTCGGGATCGCTGGGATCGCTACGTACGTTTCGAAGCACGGCGTCTAGATGGCGCTTCATCTCTGCTCTTTGGAACGCACAGTTATGAAACGAAAATCTAGATGGCGCTTCGAACGACACTTGGCGGATTGAAGTGAGTGAGGGGGGGTTCCCCCTTCCGCTTGAGTTCCACAACTGAGGTAATCTAGTAACGTTGGCTCCAGCGTGCCAGCTGTGCACCGTGTGATGTCACTGCTCGTCGCGCATGCGCAGCACGGCTCATTAGGCGAGCCACGCGAAACTGCTCAACCTCGGCCAGTGTAGTTCACGCTACAAAATAGCCAGAATACGGACTTCGGTACTGCCCAGGGAACCGTCATGCGCCCATCGAGTATACTCCCCAGTCCGAACTTGCTTCCGAAAGAACAGATTCGAAAAATTGGCGTCGACGAGTTGGCTTTCAACGAAGTGGCCTAGAACCTCAGTTCTTTTACAGTGCCTTATTTGAGACGTGCATTTTTTAACTTCAAATACTATATTTAGGGCTCAGCGTTTTCGGGTTAGCCCGAATATAACCGGTAAAAGTACGCCGAATTCATTTCTTTAAATTCTGTCTTAACCTAGTATTTCCCAGTGTTAGAAAATGTAATCAGAATGAGGTTTTTTTCTGTGGTGGTGTTTGAAGGACACCAAAGAGCAATTCTAGTAACTCGCCATACAAAAATATTATACAGCATAGGATTTATACGATGTAGCATATCTGCAACAGTGGGCAGTGACTTCATACAGTGGTCGAGACGTACTGTAGTATTCAACAATTTTATTATCACAATGAAATATGACATGACTAGCCAAAAACAACATAGGAAGCTTTCTCATTAGTTATGAAACTGCACAAAACAGTTGCGGTCTTTGTTTATGCACAGGCTCACTTGACATTTCGAGCAGGAGGTGAAAGTGTAACCGCCTGTACAGGCCTTGCAGCGGTTCCGCCGTTCATTCCATATGGGCCAGTGCTGTGTCCCGTCGGTTCTCACATCTCGAGGGATCGCCATGCATGCTTGCTTCTTGGCTGGCGGAAGGTTCTCTTCAGACGGCCTCCCAGCTGATCGCTTCAGATAGAGGACCAAGCTTGTTGCTAGCTCAGCCAGGAACTCTCTCAACGGAGCGGATTTCTGTCCTTGTTGCTGATCAATTCTTTTCTGCATCAGCCATGCATTAACAGCAGCCATCTTCACAGTGTGCCAGAAGATGTAGAGGTACCATCTCTTGGACTTTATGGCAAACCGATAACTGTAACACATCTTATCTAGAAGATCAACTCCGCCCATTGACTTGTTATAGTCGAGGATCACCGCTGGGCATTCAACAAGGATATGATCTTTTGTCTTTTTATCCCACCCTTTCGCAGTCACGGTTGGCTCCACACCGCTGCAGTTGGAGAGCAGCGTAACTGGTCTGTTGTCATACCACTTGACTGCAACCATGGATTTGTTTTCATATGATGCCACAGAAAAGTCACATGCACCCCGGCCTTTCTTTTTCATTGACTTTTCGTCCATTAGCTTACAGGACTTCAGCCTGTTTTCACGGACTGTACCAATGTACGCTATTCCTCTGCTGGTGAGCTCTGACACAAGGTGAGGACCAGTGAAATAGTTGTCTGCCACAATTAGGTTATCCTTTCTATCCGGAAGGCTTGTACAGAGCTGCAGCACAACACCAGCTCCCAATCCCAGCTGGTAGCCTTCCTGGTAGCCATACATGCCTCTGGAGCATCCTTGGTAGACATCGAAGTCGTAGCAAAGGCCTGATTCACCCGCACGCGCCCAAAGCTTCAGACCCCACTTGCTTTTCGGCTTGTTAGGCAGATACTGTCGGATGTGAGATCGCCCGCGGAAGGGGATCAGGATCTCGTCCACCGATGACTTTTTCTCTTGTGGGACACGTACCATATTGTCTCTTAGGGAGGACAGCCATGGGCGCACTTTCCAGCACTTGTCCTCTTTCATCTGGTCAGTTGCTGCATCATTGTCGGTGAAGTGCAGATGACTTGTAATCTTCTCAAACCTGTTGCGTGACATAACTTGAGCAACAAGTTCATATCGACTGCCTGTTTCCCAGTATGCACGAACTCGGTGCATATCGACGAGGCCCATTCTGAAAAACATTCCCAAGACGGATGCTAACTCTTCAACTGTCAGATTTAGGGAAGTTCCATTTTTCTGCAAGTAGTACTTGTTGGTCTCTTCCACGAATTCCTTCATCATGCTCCGAGAGACGAACATATCAAAATACTGCTTGGCTGTTGGAGGCTCAGCTAGGGGCAGTGGGAACTCGTCCTGGTAAACGGTCAGCTGGTGGTCAAACGCAGCCTTCCGCCAGGTGTAACGCTTGTTAGCGTACCTGGATTTCAGATCACTTTGCCTAACGTCAGTCCGTTCTGTGGTTTGGTCCCCGTCAAGCTCATTGACGTCCTCGTCTTCTTCACTGGTGCTGTCTTCAACATCAATGCTGGCTTCGTCTCCACTGCTCTCGTCACAAGAGAAGTCGCTTTCATTTGTGTCGACGCACTCAATTACGTTCTTTTGAAAAAGACGCTTCGGCCTAGTTGTAGGAGCTGCATAAAATGATGACGGCGCAAAGACCACTGGTGCCTGCGCCAAAATAAACACATCGCCAGATTGTAACAATATGCATAAAAAAACCAAAAAAAAAGTGAAAGCCGTTTACAAATCCCTGTAACGCCGAATTGGAGCGCAGCTCTTGAGGAGGAGGAGTGAAGGGTACTGAGGGGAGGGTAGACCCCTCCTCCTCCCCTCATTCTTTAATATGCTCCGGGGGGGCGGTCACTTGACCTGGGGGGGGGGGGGTGTCACGTGACTTCGGGGAGGGGGGGTCACGTGACCTCGGGGGGTCACGTGACCTCAGAGGGGTCACGTGACCTCAGAGGGGTCACGTGACCTGGGGGTCACGTGGGGGTCACCTTAAGGTCATGTGACCTCGAGATGACCTTGGGAGGGGTCACGTGACCTTGGGGGTCACGTGACCTTGGGGAGGAGACCACGTGACCTCGGGGGTCACGTGACCCCTCTGAGGGGTCACGTGACCTCAGAGGGGTCACGTGACCTGGGGGTCACGTGGGGGTCACCTTGGGGTCATGTGACCTTAAGATGACCTTTGAAGGTCACGTGACTTGGGGGTCACGTGACCTTCAAAGGGTCACGTGGGGTCTTGGGGTCACGTGACCTTGAGATGACCTTGGGAGGGGTCACGTGACCTCGAGGGGTCACGTGACCTTGGGAGTCACGTGGGGTCACGTGACCTTGAGATGACCTTGGGAGGGGTCACGTGACCTTGGGATGACCTTGGTTACGCCGACGGCGACGCCGACGCCGCTGTTCGAAAAATTGCGGAACAGGGTTGTTTTACATAAATGTAGCTTCTTCGTCAATTAATTATATAGTTTATACACGTATGCAGGCGTATTTCTTAGAAGATGCACAATGACTGGAAATTAGTTTGTATGGTAGCAGCAAAGACGGCCGAATTGCTCCCAGTTGCCTGTATGATATGCAAAATATGAGCAGCAATAGTGCCGTAATTTGGAATGTTTATACTTTTTCCAGACATTTTTATTCCAGCCTTGGGCATTCGGAAAATACACCGTTTAGTCTGAGTTGTCATTTCCAATTAGAAGAGGCACTGCTGCAGGTCTCCAAAAGCTTCCTGTCTCCAAACTCCCTACAGCTGGACTCTCTGACAACAGAGGAAAACAGGAGTAAAACCATGCATTCGATTGTCTGTCCAGTGGTAGATGCAGCATTAGTAGCAGATAATGTGGAACCTGTGAAGGGCGACAGTCTGCGTGAGAAAAGCTTCTGGTATTTTAGCTTTAGGACAATTCGATTTAAGTAAAATCACAATTTTAGGGCTTAAAGGACTAATAACGATCTAGACACCTTCGCTTAGGTTTGTTATACATAACTTGAGGGTTGATATAAATAAGTCAACAGATACCTCCCGTGTAGTCCTTTGAAATACTATCCGAATCCAGTAAAGGTCAAATGAGAGCAATATATAGCAAAATGTTCCTTGTTTTTTTTTTTTTTTTTTTTTTTTACTTTGCCCCTGCACTTGGGCTGTCTTACTTGTGGTTCTCTCCCCATGGCCCAGACTGTATTTAGCATGCTGCTCGAGCAGAGTGTAGCTTTTCTGCTACGGCGATCTTGTTTAGAAAGATACAAAAAAAAATAGTATACATAACCTGCCAATTCATTCAGACCACCAGCAGCATTTATTGTGCGAGATGTAAATCTATAGTGATGCTCCTGCAATTGTGGCTATATTGCTTTATTTTCATATACCAATTGCGATTCATGCGTTGCCTGCCCTGTCAACCATGCTTAAAAAGTTGGTTTAAGTTTCGCCTGTAGCCACAGGCCATACCTCAATAAAGGCACATATAAAAATTTACACTTCCTACGAAAAACACGCAAAAAAAATGAATAGAAACGAGCGCGCCGACAGCTAGCGTCGTCACAGCCTCCACAGGGCGAGCGGCGCGAGTCCGGGAAAAATTCTCTCCTCGCCGTGACGTTACCCCAGTTTGCCGTAAGGGGGCGCCACGCGAACTTCTCGGGGTTAATAGCCGGTGGTGGCTTCGTTGGTGGCGGACTCTCCTCTCGTCACTTGCTCGTCGATCGAGTCTACTGTTTGTTTGACATTAAGCTCAAATAAACGCCGTATGGATTACCTATGCGATGTCTGGTACGTACACTTTATTCCTTGAGTAGGTTCCCTTTATTTATTTTATTAGTAGTAAACGTTACAGGTCGAGCTAGCGCAGGTACCCTGCCCCCTCCGCAATAGTGCGTTAGCTACGCAATCAAGCTCACGACGTCTCTATCGGCCTTCGTGGTGATCATGCACGGTGTCGAAAGCTCTCCATAGCTCACGCGATTATCTAAAGACCCGTTCACACTCTTGCGACCGACTTCGACCGAGAGAGACCAGACCGGTTTTTAAGCCTCTTACGATCTCTTAGGACCAGGGGGGCTATGTTGCGCTTTTTGGACTCCCAGGAGACTTGGAAGAGGGAAGTGACGTCAACGACTAGAGCAAACGCAGATTGGATGTTGACAGAAGAAAACGAAATCAACACCCAATCTGCGTTTGCTGTGTCGTTGACGTCACTTCCCTCTCCCTAGTCTCCTGGGAGTCCAAAAAGCGCAACATAGCACCCCAGCTCCGCTGTAGCGCATCCGGTCCTAAGAAGTTGTAAAAGGCTTAAAAACCGGTCTGGTCTCTCTCGGTCGAAGTCAGTCGCAAGAGTGTGAACGGGCCTTTAGTGTGTAGAAAAGCTGACAATTCGGTCGATCAGGGGCGGGTTCCGAGTCCCGACGTTCTACAGGCAGAGATTAACAAGACAGCGAGCTTAGGCTGTGGCACCCGGAATAATAAACGAACTCTTACCCGAATCAAATCACCAGTGCAAAGCCCGTTAAAATTACGAGTCAATTCTTTTCGCGGCGGATTCAAGTGACGGGCGTAAACATCAAGTTTCTCCGTTGATTTGTCGAAAGCTAAGACTACAGCGCTAGGGCTAGAGCGCCTTGGATGCCTCACCAGCGACAGGTGCCATCTTGTTTTGAAAGTCACTGACGTCACGTCAGCGTCGCGTTGCGATTGGTCGCCGCTTTGCGGTTCGTGAACGCGGTTGGGAGAGATCGGTCCCGAAGCGGTTGGGAAAAACGCGCTCCAACCGCTCGATCCTAGCCGCTTTGCGGTTGAGAATGCGCGGATCCGCTTCCAGTGTGAACGCGCCATAAACGTACCATTATATGGTCAGGGGGACATAGTATAGGGAGATAGTCGCACCTATCAGTCGGCTAATTAAGTAAAATATTTAACTTTTTAATTGGTGTAAATAGACATAAAGTTCCAATTAGAAACTTGCTGAGCATCATCGAAAACCACTAAATCAACTCTTATGAAAAAGAGTTGATTTAGTGGTTTTGCCGGTAATGCCGTAAAATTCCGAGTCAGCATTTTACGGGGTTCTGTAAAACGCTACATTTGAACGAGTCTCTAGATTGCGGTTTCTTATCGGAGCGCATCTACGCGGTGGCAGTCGTCGTCCCCAGTGGCTGAGACGCGCAACAAACATGCGCCCTGCTTCCCTCCATTCTACGAGGGAGGCGAGGAGGTGGCTTTGCGCCGAGACCACTGGGGAGCAGAGGCCAGATTCATAAAAAACCTCTTACCTACGACATCTTAGCTACGATGTTCGTAAAGTTACGATCATCGTAAGATGAGGCAGGAACGGTATTCACAAACCCGTTCTTAAGTGAGAGGAGGAAAGTTACGACCGGTTACGACCTCTTACGGAAAAACGACGACTTCCGGTGTCTCGCCTTTTCCCAAATAGCGCGAGAGCTTGTTGTTGCTATGGCGACGGCGTCTTCGGCGACTCCAACCACCAATGAGCGTAGTTTCAAACACGTGCGCGTGTTTACAACGCCTAGAACAACACACGTGCGCGTGAATATGTGCGAATGTCAAATTTCTCGGAAGCGGAGATTACCGCTTTGGTCGACGGTTACGAAGACCACAAGCTAGCCATTCAGGCAAAAACAAGTGGCCCGCACGGCTCGTTAGCCAAGCAGCGAGCGTGGGCTATTATTACCGCGTCGCTGTTCGCGGTCTCCGGAGTCCGGAGGAGCGTCAACGAAGTAAGAAAAAAGTGGACGGATTACAAGAGTGCAAATAAAATCCGCGGTAAGGCTTGGTAGATTCTCTACTCAGTTAAACAATTTGAGTGTAGACCTACACGTGATGTACCACCTTGTTGCAATGTATAGGCGCTGCAGTCCGGCGCAGCCAAACTGCGACAGGTGGTGGCCCGGGAGAGCCGGAGCTAACGGACGCCGAGGAGCGGGTGATCGGCCTCCTCAGCGAAGCCTCCCTAGTAGGAATCGAAGGGGCCTTCGACATCGGAGCACGGCAGTTGGGTAAGTGCTAAATGTTCACCAATGCGCAAGGTGCCTCCCCCCCCCCCCCCCCCCCCAGCACATACTGGGAGGTTTCACTCTGGTTGATGATGTCGAACGTGTATTGCTAGCACTAGAAACATGAAAGGCTGATTGAAAAACTGAGCGATTCTTCCTTTTCAATTTTCTAGAGCGTCACGAACGGACCCAAGTAGCTGCCGATCGCGATTCGGAGATCTCCCCCGATTGTAAGTTCACGATATCTCAATTTTCGTATAAAATTGTGAAAATATTACATTGTATTTTCAGTTTTCGTCATAGATCCGGGTGCTGGATCCAGCACTGCACCACAACGAAGTTGGTCGGTGCACTCAAGGTCAGTTTGTATCTTTATCAACGAGTTGAAGTGCTATATATACAGCTGCAGTTAAATTACAAGTGCTTTCTTTTTCTCTGTCCCAGTCCTAGTACCTCGGATGGCATGCTGTGCAACCAGAGTGAGTATTATGAACAACGCTATGGGTATTCTTGTACAAGTGTTTACATTCGGCATCTGAAATATTTAGTAACATGTTTCACGTCTTGCCCATGTATAGAAAATGAAAACATTTGGTCAAAGTTGTCACTCAACTGTCGAACCCTGTTCCAGTTATCCAAAACCCGAGTTTGCAGCGAACAAGTTTGGGTTTAGCCGCACCACTGCGACTACACAGCAATTAAATATCCGACAAGCATCACGACATGCCAGGAATCCTTAGATTGCTGGTGCACACAGTGCACACCGTTACTTGGGTCAGGCATTCCGTAAGGAGGATCGGTGGCCTGGTGTGTTAGTGTTCCGCAGCTCCAAGCACGCATTCAAAATCCAGGAATCCTGTTTTCATTCCATATTTGTGCCAGCTTTAATCTGGATTAAGATCGTATCGGCGTGCTGTCGGATATCACTACTGCACGATACATGTAGACTTTAGGCTAGCAATCATACTGCACTGGCCAAATTCCTCATCTCCAGCATAACCAGCAGAATTGTACACCAGACTGACCTCATACATTAACATCTGTTTTGCTTCTGATCCCACCCAATTTCATTCACACACATTGTACGATTATTACGTTGTTTTGTTGGCCGTGTCGGGCACTTTAGCCATCACACAGTAGTCTGTAAGCATGAAGCGCCACATATTTTATTCATTGGGTGGAGGTGCAGTTGCAGAAGCCGTGACTTCACAACCCTCAGTAGCACGGCCTGCATTAGCGCGGCCTGCGTCGGCCCGGCCTGCAACACCGGGGCCTGCAACACCACGGCCTGCATCAGCACGGCCTGCATCAGCACGGCCTGCATCAGCACAGCCTGCATCTGCACGGCCTGCAGCAGTAAGGGCTGCAGCTGCAAGCGCTGCTGTTGAGATAGCTGCCAGCACACCCCCAACAGATCGACGGAGTGAGTATACTTAAAACACATATTTAATATGATTATACATTCTTGCATTGTTGTTGTTAGATTAACGTTTTTGCTGTGCGTCACTTTTTGAGGAGCTTCTAAACGTCCAACACTTCCGCTTGAACCTGTGACATCACTGGAAGACCTCTAAACTACACAGACGACATTCAAAAGCTCTCCGACATGGTTGCTAGCACCTGTATTTTTCAATGTCTAAAGTGTGAATGACAATGGTTATGTCACACATCCATGCAACATGTATCAGTACAAACTATGATTGCAGCAAAGAAAACTGGATGATTATTTGTGCTCCATGCTTTCAATCCTGAACAGGACCACACTTCAAAGCTGACAAATTTATTTTCAGAAATACTTCAAAACACAAAGCTAGAGGGGATATTTATGTACAGGCACTTTTCACGACACATGAAAAAAAACATTTAAATCAAAATTAAAGTTCATTTTGAGCTAGTATTTTGAGGATCTCTGACACATCTGTGTATACATATCCCATAGCCGATTTAAAAAATAACAAATCATTACTCCACCAATTCAGGCGACAACGAAGATGTGGGACATGAGATCCTGCAGACGCAGGTGGCGATCCTGGAGCGGCTCGATGCGCTGGTTGCAGCGCAGCAGGGCATACTAGCGGCGCAGCAGGGCATGCTAGCGGCGCAGCAACAGTTAGTGGCCCTAAAGGCACAGAAATATGGAGTGCAATTTGTTAACGCTCCTGTTCTTCCTGAATAAACCTATGTACTTTGCCCCGTTTCAACATCTGTTGACCAACAAATAAAGGTACTGGCCAAGTGAGTGTCCGAGCAAAGCATGTGACAACACTTCATTGCAGTAAACTCTATTGGAGCACTCTCACATGCTTGTCTCCAGCACCTTTACTTGCTCCTTGTGGAAGAGGACACTTTTAAGTAAAAGCGTGGCGAACAACTGCACTTCTTGCAGCCGCACCCGCCACCATGGGTCGTGCCCTCCTAGTTCTTGGTGCTGGTGTGGGTGTTTCCTCCTCCTCCTCCTCCTCCTCCTCCTCCTCCTCCTCCTCCTCTTCATCATCATCATCATCATCAGACAGGTCAACTGTATACATAAGAGAATATTCATTAGAGTGCTTTCCCACTCATAAAAATCTAAGGCAGGAAATGCCAATTCCATATGGTGACTGCTACCTGCTAGCTTGTACAGAACTTGTAAGCTAAAGGTGGTTAGCAAGAAACAAATGTCTTCTAATAATTCTCCTGAGCCAGCTCTGAAAGATAGCTTGCTTACTGCAAAAAACGTTTTCATTGCACAAAAAAAAATAGGTCCGGTGATACAAATTATTTCATTGAGTTACGCGAATTGTTCACATGTAAGGTAGATTTTCGGAGAGCTAAGAGTGTCAAGTGAACAGATGCGGTCCAATATATAAAAAGATTGTGCAAAAACGCCCACCAAAAAGCAGCCTTGTAGTAGCCTACTTCTATAAACCCTTGCATGTGAAACTGCGTTCTGGCAGCGAGTTGGCCATGGAAAGAGGTGGCAGGGCTTCAGTTTTGATCTACGAGCCCTCAAAGTTATTGCGACAGTATGTGTAAAATGTGGCAGTGCATTTGGTCACGACGTGATGACGGAACTGAGGTTGAGCAACTGAAAACCAAAATGCGCTGCGTAATGCCTTTCCATTAGGGGCACTTCCACTCTGGAAAAGGTCTATTATGTTACCTAGTGGTTCATTTAGAGACACGTGGTGGCGCATACAGTAATTGTGAAGAACCACACAGGCCACAATGATCTTGCAGCAGATCTTGGGTCTGTATTGTAGGAAGCCTCCAGACTTGTCCAGGCACCTGAAGCGGGATTTCAGGAGCCCGAACGTCCGCTCGATGACTTATCTAGTCTTCGTCAGGGCCTCATTGTAGTCCAACTCTGGTTGGTCCTTGGGTGCTCGAATTGGGGTCATGAGCCACGGCTGGACAGAGTACCCAGGCAGAAATGCATTTTGATCAGTACTACTTTGGACTCTCCCAACCATGGGAGACAAATGGAAATTATTTCTTGCAATCATATTGCTGACTGTTGTTTTATCACAGAGGTGCACAACTAAAAAATGACGCGTGCCAAGAAAATGTTCATTGGGAACTGCGTGGACACACAGAAAGTGCCCTCGGGCCGCATGCAGCCCGCGGGTTACATGTTGTGCACCCCTGTTTTAGCATTAGGCTCTGAATGTTTGTGTAACAATGCTTTACTACATATTTTCATCAGAAACTTACCAAGCAACCAACCATCAGGTGCGGTGCCTATGACGAACTGCTCATATAAATCACAGTTTCGCCACATAAAGCTATCATGTGTGCTCCCTGGCCACTTCACGGTCAGTTGTGTGACCACATTGCTTGCGTTGCACACT